ACGGCCATTCATGAAATGGGGGATGGACATCGTCGGACCGCTGCCACCGGCTCCCGGAAAGGTAAGGTTTCTTTTAATTATGACTGACTATTTTTCTAAAATAGGTGGAAACATGTCCTTATCAGAAGATCAGATAACGTGAAGTGGTCAATTTCCTATGAAAAATATAATTTGCAGGTTCGAAATACCAAAAGAGATAACATGCGACAATGGGCCACAGTTTATCGATGCAAAAGTTACAAAGTTCCTCGAAGATTTGAAGATAAAGAGGATCACATCTTCTCCTTATCATCCGAGCGCAAACAGTCAAGCGGAATCAACAAACAAAGTGATTATTAAAAACCTCAAGAAAAGGTTGGAAGCAGCAAAAGGCAACTGGCCCAAAGAATTACCCGGAGTTCTATCGACCTACCGAACAAAGGCCAAATCGAGCACAGGAGAAACTCCGTTTTTCCTTGTGTATGGTGCTGAAGACCTAATCCCGGTGGAAGTGGGTGAACCCACTTTGAGATATTTTCAGGCAGATGAAGAGTCGAATAACGAAGCAATATTAATCAACCTGGAACTACTTGAGGAACACAGTGACTTGGCGCGTGTAAGAATGGCAGTTCAAAAGCAGAGAATAGAGCGATATTATAATCGAAGAACCAACTTCCGTTATTTAAAAGTAGGGACTTGGTTCTAAGAAAAGTAACCCAAAATACCGGGAAGCTTAATGCGGGGAAGCTTGGTCCAACGTGGGAATGTCCCTACCAGATTTCGGCTATCAGTGGGAAAGGTTCATACGAGTTGGAGAACCAGAATGGAAACATATTTCCTAGCAACTAGAATGTGGCACACCTCAAAAGATATTATTGCTGATGAACATTATTCAAGTGAAAAGTATATGCTGCACTCTTTTTCCCTTCGTTTAGTTTTTGTCCCAATTGGATTTTTCTGGTAAGGTTTTTAATGAGGCGGTGATAGAAAGTATACTACGAAAACAACAACAATAAGACCTTTGATAGCAAGGCAAACAAATAAGTTTCCACTTGGGGATGGTTAGATGATCTTTGGCTCGATAGCAAATTCCTATTGTGAAGTTAAGTTTGCTACCGAACAAAGGTTACCCGACCGTTCACGAGCACAAATAACTAGAAGATTGTTAGATAGCCTTTTGCTCGATAACATGGATTCCTAAGGGGAAGTAAGATATGTTGCCGAGTTAAGGACTATCAAGCAATTCACTGGTGGAATCTTTGAAGGCACAAGACTTTCAGTGTTCCAATTCGCGTTCTTCGCATTGGAATACCGGGGGAATGATATGAGGATAGGACAACATTGAATGCCACGCCAAAGAATGATATGAGGATACAGAAACAAGTTGTACAAGATAGCCACAAGTAATGGTAATTTATTTTTAGCATAATAAATGCTTGTGTACTTTTGAAAATAGAAGGAATTATATGAAATGAAATCCTTTTGTTTTTATCTTGTTTCTTATTTGAACGATGAACTAACTTTATCATTTGAAAGTTAAACAAGTACTTCAAATGTTAGTGCCGTAATGAACAGGAGACGTCCTCTTCAAGAGCACCGTAAACATAAGAGGGCCCTCTCTTATGCAAACCTTCACATTAAAGGGTTGGTTTCGGAAGAATATGTGCCCGGAATCAAAATGCCTTCAAGGAAAAATGCACCCGAAAACGTACATGAAAGGACGCAAAAACTTGCGCAAATATTTATAGAAATTCTCACGTAAAAGGGATAATGCTCAGAACCAAAGTGCTTCGAGAAAAATACATTCGATACTACACATAGTAAAGCGCGAATAGAAAAACGTGCGCAGAATTCTTAAGCAAATGCAAAGGTTAAAAACTTGCATGTATATTTAAATGAATGTAAGACTCAAACAATACTACAGCAAAAATATGTCTTTATTTACAAGAATGTGCCAAAACGGTAAAAGTACAAAATGGAAAAAAAGAAAAGAAAAGCTAAACTGCAGTGTCTCCGGAACCAGGAGGAAGAGAAGTGTCCGCATCCCCGAGAGAAGTAGGTGGGTCCACCGATGGCTCGATATTTTCCCCAGTCTGGTTTTCAGCATCGTCACTCTCCGATTCCTTTTCAGTTCCCGAAAACTCGGAACCGAAGCCAGAAGAACCAAGAGCATCAGACTGCGCCGGGAGTCCATTTTAGCCAGCCAACTCAAGCTCCCAGGCCTTATCAATTCGGCATCATAATCAATGATATCTAACTCATGGTAGCGACAGTCTTCCTTTACAGCAGGAATACTGAAAGGACGAATGGAAGAAAGGTACCTACTAACAGCCCATGTACGAGGGTTAGCAGTAGGAAATTTCTCTTCAAAGTCTTTTGTGGTACTGAGTCTTCTTGGGATGATGGAACCCACCGTTGGAAGAGCAGAGTCCTCGTCGTTGTTCTTGCTCTTTGAAGAACCGGCACGCTTGGAGGAAGAAGCCATTGAATAAGAAGAAGGAAAAAGTTTTTGTTGTAAAAGAATTAGAGAAATGATGGAGAACAAAGATGCAAATCAGAAGCTCGTGAAATTATGAAGTGCAAAGGAAAAGAATGATGCATATAAGTAAAATTTTGGTGGCTAAATTCATGGCCATGATTACCTCGATAATTGGTAAAAGTTGTGCTGAATTGTGGGATGACGCATTTTCGGGGCATTAAATGCGGAGAGACGTGCGTCTAATCAACCGCCGGAAGCCTTTAGAGGGAGTTATAGTAATTCCCGCCAAAAGAGTGTTTCTACCAACTTTCCGGTAACACACAGTTATGTCACCGGAAAGCAGGGGGACTATCTGTATAGGGTGAAATATAATATGACGCGTGGTCATCTAAAGGAAAGACACATGAAACCCAAGACGGAGATGGCTGAAGACCGAATACAGCTATTCCGTTTTTCACCGGAAGGGATAACGCTCATAAAGGTGTATTAAATGTTCTGCGCCTGGTAGCATTTAATAAGGAATATTCTGCAGCATTAAGAGTGACATACCGTTTACAGAGAATTTTGGCATTTATGTTCACTGTTACATCTTCATCAATGACCCTCATAATTGACATTAAAGAAGGGCACGATCCTAGGACCTCCTTCCCTAGACACAACTGTAAATACTGAGCCCAGTTATCATTGTAAAGGACACAAATTTTCTGGCTAAACTTACACTACATTCTATACAAAGCTTAATACATCTTACTTTCCCTCTTTTTGATCTCATCATTGCTGTGCTCGGAAACCTTGTTCTCGGAACTGTCATCTTTGTTGTTTCATCTACATTTTAAGGCTAAGTATTGTACATTTCTTCAATTATTGCATTATTTCAGGATCAAATTAGTTCACTTGTCTAGAAATCACGTATAAAATCAACTGTACCGTTTTACGGATAAACAAATTTATATACCGTAAATAATCCTCTAATGTTATACCAACTACTTTTTGGTAGTGCCTTTCACTTTTGTCCAATGACATAACGCGACATATAATCTTATCTATCTGATAATTAATTCTATATTTTCATAATTTAGTAAACGTATACACTTTCCAACTAATTAAGACACTCTATTTCATAATAATTAACCTACCAACTATACTCGTCCACATTGTTTTGCACTTTCTAAGTACAAAAATTATGTGACTGCTAGCTCCTACTTAATTAAACTAACTTCCAGTGTAAAGCCCTTCATTTTAAGGGTTTTTTAAATTACAAAATATAGTTGCTTTTAAACCAGTAGAGAATTTATAGTGTTTAGGAAAAAATTTCTTGAAACTAACTAATTGTGTGAGATTCTAATTCAGTACTAATGATCTTTTTCCCCAAGAACCTTCAACCACAATTGTCAAAATTATTGAATTGTGAGAAAGGAAAGAAAAAGACGTAAGAAACAAGTCATTAAGTTTGGTAAACTGTTTAAATCAGCCCGTACAGTAACTTATATAAAGCACATGGAGGGCACCTTCTCTATATTCCTAGGCTAACTAAAACAGGTCACATGATCCCATTTACCTACCCCTCAAAATTTGGCAAAATTAAAGCCATTCCTTATGGTCTAAGATTTAAATCATTGAACTATTTAATTAAGAAAAAGTAGAGAAGAGTAAAAATCAAACTCTCAAAGTAAGAATGAGAAATTAAAAAAAATAAAAAATAAAAACTTTGAATGTTAGAAAGTGAGAGGGAATTATAACGTGGGTACAACTGCGACAATTATTCACTCTTCTAATGAAAAGAAACAATTATTAAAATTGAAAGGAGTATTTAAGTTTCCGAGTGCAAATTCTTACTTCTTCACATAAGAAATGGCATTATCGATAAACAAAATAATTAAAAATAAAAGCAGAGTAGAGTAAACCTCAAGCAATAAGAGTAAACCCATAACAGCTCACATGATCCAATATTCACCAATCCCTAAAAACCTTGGCAAATTGGAAAAGCCATTACTCGTGGTCTAAATTTTAATTAACCGATGAACAATTTAATTAAAAATAAAATTCGAGAAAATTAAAAGTCAAGTAAGCACGAGTAATAGTACAAGACTAGTCGTAATAAATATAGTTCCTTGTGTAAGTAGCACAAATTAGAGATAGTCATATCAAAACGAATATAAGATTTTTAGTATCTTCCTTTGAATTCTCTCTCTTAATCAATCTACGTACATAATAGGAAAATCAAAAACTACTCTTATAATTTTTTTTTTTACAAAAAAAAAAAAAAAAAAAAAA